GAAATGCTGATTTCGCTGTAAACTTTATGATTAAAAAGGAACGTCGCCTTTTATTCCTGTATATTTTCTAACAATATGATTATATTGATTGATGACCAACACAGATTGCATGTATAAATTGTATTATAGTAAACTGGAATGAAAACTAAACATTTTTTGTAAGGAATAGAATCTGGAAAAGTGAGGCAAGGATTTCGAGGTAATACTGTTTACTTTAATAGCTTTAAATAAAATCCTGTTCAACCAAATGCTTAACCAACCAAATGAGCTTAGTAATAAATTGAGCTCAAAAAGCTATTCTTAGTATAAATACAGTTTTTCTCTAATGCCCTGAGGAGAACGTTTTTTAACCAATGGCATAATAAAGGCTAACTAACAACAAGAATATGAGAGTGGCCAATCTCCCAAAATGTGGCAGCCAACCAGATTATTCCAGATTAGTGGAGCATAAGGTCTAAAAGCTGCTTCTCCATGTTTAGCTCTAGTTCTTTGTATGCAGAGTATATTTGAGCCGGAAGACCTGAGAGGTCTGAGCAGTTGATACCTTCACAACAACTCTATCTTGAAATTGTTTTATAGACTAATATAAATATTTAAAAGCATATTCTCTGACATACGGGGGTGTCTGTGTAATGATTTTAGCACTGGATTGATGTGCTCCACTTTCTTTGTTTTACTGAGGATGTGGGCAGTAGGATTCTGGATCAGCTGCAGCTGTCTGATCTTTGGGTGAAATAAGACCAGGCAAGCTGGTCAGATGTTTTAGAGGATAGATTGCTTGATTCTTTCCTTGATTCCCTGATTCCTTCCTTAATTCCTTCCTCCCTTCTTTTCTTGATTCATCGATTCCTTCCTTCATTCTTTCCTTTCTTGATTCCTTCATTCCTTGATTCATTCCCTACTTCCTTTATTCCTTCCTTCCTTCCTTGATTCCGTCCTTGATTCATTCCTTGATTCCTTCCTTCCTTCCTTGTCCATAAGTACAGTTTACAGGTCCTTTACAATAAATAAAGATGAATTCAGATGAATTATTGGAGGAAAAACCTGTTTTGGATTAAACCAAGAATAAAAACAAAAGTACATAGAATAATATAGATAAACTAATAATGTGCAAAATGCTTAAAACATACATTCAACAAAGCTTTTTAACCCCTCACACCAACCTAGAGGTATTTTGGACAAAAATGTGTCTATATTTTCTGTGTCTCGACATGCAAAGCTTGTAAAGTCATGTTCTAAATAGACATGCAGCCATCATTGCTGTGAAAAATGGTTCTGTAAATAGATATTGATAGAAGTGTTTTGGAAAACAGAAGAATATATATATATATCTTTAATTTGATTTATTGTGGGAAAAGAGCAGATATTTACTCGAGGTGTTTCTAGTTTGAGTAGTGAGGCTTAAAACATTCACTGTAAACGTCTTTATATCTATTTAGTTTTCAATGCCTTCTTTGACAAACTGACACATCCTAAGACTTTTAGCAATATAAAAAAAACATTAACAAACACATACAGAAACACCCTATTGATGCCAAAGGCAGTGGGACCTCCTTCTATAACATCCCCCCCAGAAATCCATACACAGATGCACACAGGCACTTATGAGCCAACTTTAATGTGACTGTATGCCAAAACTATTGGAGTGCAGCTGAGGAGTGTCTTTGCACTGTGCTGCACTCTGTGCAGTAAGCTGCACAAATAAAGCAACATTCCCTTCTAACCCTCATTTATCACAGACCTGTGAGTCTCCTTCGCCTCGAGAGGAGAGAAAACCGAAGAATTAAAACTCTAACAGCTACGAGAGGTGCACTCATTCTTGCCCATCATTGGAAGTTGCAGAAGTATTGCTTCCACTTCTCTCGACTTTGGAAAGGTTAGCAGGCAAATAAATGGAGCCCATAGCGGTGCTGAGAGATGACAGAGGGCGGAGGAACACCACAGAGGTAAACTTAAAACTGGTTCCCCCTTTAAAGCTTTTTGAGCAGAAGAATGTTATTAAAATACTCTTTGTTTCCAGTATTTCTTGTGATATTTTAAAGTCGTCTGAATAAGTTATTCTCAGAGTTTTAAAAGGACTCTTTCAATTTTTTTGGGAATGTAGCTTAATTACACTTTTTTCACAGTCCATCTACATCTACCTAACTAGGATTCCTTTTTTGGTGTATGTGTGAAAAATATGAGGACAGTAGACAGGGGTTAGACTAAATACTTGTTAATTCATAAACATCTATCTAACCTTTAATACCTGAAGCCCTTTGCTTGATCACTTACATTATACCAAGCTTTCAGGTATTTTGAAAACACCCTATTTCACCTTATTACTAAATATCCCATCGTTTTCTTTTGAATTTGCCTTGGAATCAGCAAGAGATAAACACAGATTGTGCGTCCTATAGCAAGAAAGTTCCCTCATATCTAATAAAATTTAGTTTTTCTATATTTCTAAGTGTATCTTAAAAACAAAAATGACATTTAAAAGATGTTCAGAAAGTCTAAATAAAAACATCTTATGAGATATATTTGTTCTGTTCTGATGCTGCACTCTGGATTCAATGCAGGAGATGGGAAACAAAAGGATCCTAACTAAATTAAGATCTCTGTGGAATAATGTCTCCCACCCCATGCATGCAGCTATTGCAGAACTGGAGAGCTCCTTCAGTTGCAGGACCTTAAATGCACCAGGGAGCGTTTTCACAGATCCTTCCTCCCAGCAGCTGTAAGACTCTATAACTACCACTATTCCCAACAACCTCAATAAGTTCTTACATTTATGCTGATTTTGCACTGTTAGTCAGTTAAAAAATATACTGCTTTCATTTTGCACATATCTGATGTTGCTGCTATTTTTAAATACCCATTACTGCAAAAATGTCAGTAGATCCATTTCGGTTATTTATCAATTCACTATCATGTTATTCTTATACCCTTTTCTAAGGTCCACATTTGTGTGACCATTTCCTATAATTTTTTTGCTGCTGTAAACACCAGAATTTACCCATTGTGGGACAATAAAGGGAATGTCTATTCTATTCTGTTCTATATATTTTAAACTGCTGAGAAGCAATTGCTAAGGAAATAAAAACTCAAGCAGTTGCAGATAACATGGATCCCTGAACATAAAAGTTATTGCTAATGTTACAAAAACCCACAGGTTCACACAATGGTCAGTGGTCACAACAATGGACAGCTAGTCAAAGGAGGTTTTATTTTAAGTGTGTGGATGAAAACCAGTTCATTGGTCATTAGGATGATGTGCCCTACACTGACATCTACTGGAAATCTAGTGCAAGTGCACAATAAACTTCTAACCCACCTGAGCCACATTCAGCTAGTACCACCATACACTGATTAAATTAATTTTTTCATGAGTAGGAAATTGAAATTAATTATCTGTCTATTAAAGTGCCCAACATACAACACTGCTTAGTTTTACCTACTTTTTAACAAATACAGTGAGATTCTGGAAAAGAATATTTAACAGAAGTAAATTAAAGTACAATAGGGAAATACAGAATATGAGAATATTTTAAGAAAGGTATCTGACAGGTGTGGGCAGTTGTTTTTTATACATGATGGTAAATACAGCAGATTGCTCCATCACGTTTGGAAAGCATTGCTTGGCCAATATTTTTTTTCAATCAGGTCAATGTTACTTAACAGAAATGTGGAAAAAGAGAAAAATGTTCTAGAACTTTGAGAAATGTTTTACTTTAAAAGGTAGGTTTTAAAATGTCTTATATACTTTCATTAATTGTTTGTGGTATTGGTCTCAATATAGGGTTTACATTCTGTATGGATCTTTACCTTTTTCAGGTCACCATCCCTGCAAACGTTATTGTGCTGCACTCGTTTCAGAATATAAGGTTATTTCATAAAACTTAATTCATTTAGTTTAGTATTAATATTGTCAATTCTTTAACATGTACTAGACGTTAATGTGGCAAACCCTCCCCAGGAATGCACGAATGGAGGGTTGGTGCTTAGCATTAGTGTTTACTGGCTGGTTTGGGGTGCAGCCTATGTAAATCTAACGCCCTGGTTGCAGACACCGCACTCAATGCACCTTTACAGCTTACTTGCAAATAAAAATATTTTTAAGTTTGTATTTGTTCTTTGTGTGTTTACTCCTTAATTTGATATATTTGGCTGTCTTCTGTCAACATGTGAAATGTAAGCTAGATTCCTTGTTTCTGCATAGGAACCTGGCCAATAAAGATGATTCTGACTGAGCGTTCCACTTGATGCACAAGACATTCAATGTTCATCTATATTTTGCTCTTTTTCAGGCTGCTGATGCTCAGAGTTTGCATCACAAACTGGAGAGGTGCAGAGTTGACCCCGACCATTTGCTTGGGATTGTGGGTATTGTAGGCACCGTTCTCAACCTGCTGGTGGTGGTGCTGGTGTATATCTACACCCCTATTTAAATATTGCAATGAGGGGTTTTGATACAGTAAATATATTGCTGGCTTGAGGTGCACTCCCTTAAAGTCAACAATTATTTGTTTTGTAACTGACCTTTAAAGACATGTTATTGTGACTGGTCTTTTTGATATACTGAATCAGCAGTTTGTAACACATGTACCTCTAATTTTGATAACTCTGCATCAATTCAAAAGTGCAGGTTATGACATTATGCAGCAGGGATGTCTAGTAATGTATGGTATATGCTTTGTAACCGCATTGTTTGATAAAACATTTTTAATCTATCTTGTTGTATGTTTCTGGCACATTCACTGTAGTTTTGTACAATGACGTTGCATTTTATGTGGTAAATAAAATTCTCTTTCGTCTGTTTTTTTCCTTTTTGATTTTACAAAGCTATCTTATATAAAAGTCTCTTCTCAAAACCAATAAAAAGAAACAACCTAAAAAAAAAAAAACAATAAATTCAACACCTAAACACCAACCACAGACTAAAATTTGATCTAAATATAAACTAGATTTTGAACAGTTTTTAAATATACATTTTATTTAAAAAAAAAGTTGAATTTGTTTTTACACATTAAACTTATGATACATATAAACAAATGGTATAATTTAAATACAACACATAAAGCATTTATCCCAGTGCATTGTTAAACAAAAGAGGGAAAAAATCCCTGCAATATAATTGTTTTGTTAGTTACAATTAAATAAAAAAAAAAAAGAAACACCATCACAGTGTCATAGAATATGTGGCCACTTTTGAATATATATTTTATTTCTATGCATAGGGAAAATTTGCTTCCATTTCAATAATTCAGTATGCCGTTTAAAATTAATAAATGCATACATATGATACTGTTAACTACTTCAGTCAGTTTTAACTTATCAATTAGGTTGCTAGGGAAGTTAAATGATCAGGATTTTTTACGTTAATATCAGGTAATATTTGACAGCTGGTGATGATGTCGATTTTCTCAGAAACAGCCTTCAGATCGTCCAGGATTAGCCTGATGCTGTGGGAGGCATTGATGATGGCGCTCTGCGATGTATTCAGCTGAGATGTTACACTGTGGACCTAATGCACAAACACAAAGAATTAAATAATTCACACTAAGAAGATATTTTTTTTACTTTACTGATTTTATCCAAATAAAGATAAAAGTTAGTTTGACTGCAGCAAGATAATTTTAACTACATTTTACTGCCCTCCCTTTCAAGCATACATCAGTTTGCATTTAAACTGATTTTAAGGTTAGGGTGATAGTAAAGCCTTCCAACCTCAAAGACTTAAACTTGTTGCATACTCTACAAGAACCAGGAGATGTGCTCTTGATTTTGAGGTGGCAGGAACAAGAAACAACTTTATGTCTCTGAATATTCATACTTAGCAAGAAGCTCGGCTACCAAACAAAGTTCCCTCCCCTTCAACATACATCACATCCATAAAAGAAAACACTGCAGACATACAGTGGCAGAGGAGATATTTTTCAGATTAATAAGGAGAAGGGGAGATCAAAAGCTTTATATTACTTAGAAGAGGTATCATACAAATGTTTATATTTGACCATCCTCTAACTATTCATTACATAATATATCACTATAAAGATTAGAGGGGTATTAATGACACAAACTAAGATGGGGTAAATCATCTGAGCTTATCTTATTCAACGTAAATCCAAACCAATTGCACCACTCTTCTCAGACACACTGAGGAAGAAAGATCTTCCCAGGCGTTGTACCAAGAACAAATATCGAGGTGCAGCCCTCCCATTACAGAACTGCAAATAAAAAATGATGTCATTCTGCTCTTGCTGCTTTAAGAGTGAGAAAAAACAAAACAAAAAGTTTGTTACAATACTCCACAAGAAGAAGTATTGTAACAAGCTTTTTGGTGGAAGAGAAGTTTTTTTTTTTTTTAAGTTAATCACTTAACAGAATTTAAAATCCTCCCAAAAAAGCTGGAGAGAGCAATTATGAGAAGGGTTTGATTGTTTTAATTCCAACAAATATTTTTCCAGTAACTACTGAGATGATAATAATTTTTTGGCATGATTGTAAAGTAACAATGGTAAACTGTTATTATTATTATTATTTTATACTGTTTGGATATCTATTGAGAGATCATTGTCATTCTTATCTGAAACAAATATTTATAGCAAAAAAGAAAAAAAAAGGATCAAATCTGCCAGGGGTAGGAATATTTTTCTCTTAAATTAGATCACTGACTTGTACAGAATATTAGAGACCCAATAAGAGAATAAGTGCTTTGGTTAAAACAACGTACCTCCTTACTGGCACTGCTGTAAACCTGCCGGACCATCTGCCCAACATCGTTATAGAGTCTGCTGTTGGACTCCTGCAGCTTCTGTTGTAGAAGGGTGTCACCTACTAACAGAATAACAAACAGACTCAGCTGGGACTGAAACTGGAAAGGTATCTGTACTTTATATTCCTTACATTTTTAAAACCAACGCTACTCGTTACTCTTGGCTTCGGTTTATTGTTTATAAATATTTATTTCACATCATGTGCGCCATCCAATGCAGATCATTGGTGCCATCCACATCTAGTGAAAACTAATGTAATTGGATGAGTCACATAACACAAACACTCATTGGTTAGCTTTTGGTCAAATTTGTGCTGACCCTAAAGGAAATGACCAGAAACTGTAAACACAAATTGTCTATGCCATGCTACAATGTCGGATTCAGAAAAAGATGTCGAAATGTCTGAAAAGTTGGACACACGCGAGACCAACAAGACCTCCCTCCTTGGCCCTATGTCAAAGAATTTTTCGATAGAGTTGGAAAATGTAGCTTTCAATTCATACAGTGTCATCTGGCTGTTTTTTTTTAAAGGCAAGGCAAGGCAAATTCAGTACAAAGACAATGCAAAGTGCTTTACATGATTAAAATATAGGAGAATAAAACAGAATCAAAGCAGGTGGAAAAAAAAAGGTTAAAGGTTACTTTATACTTTAAGTAGTTTTTGGAGCACATACTTTTTCACTTTTATTAGAGTAAAGAGGTCAAGTTTCAGCTTTTACCGGAGTTTTTTTAAACTGCAGTATCTATACTTCTACTTAAGTAACAAATGTGTGTATTTTTGACACCACTGGTTATATCAAACTGGTTCTATAGTCACTCTATAACATATGGAGTAATATAACAAAAATAATTTCACCCTGGGATTATTATAGTATTTCTGATTCTGATTCCTGGTTGATGGGACAGGGGTTGTGAAAGAAACGGTGCCCAGCTTGAAAGAGCTCCTGTGTGTCGATGAATGTGTGCATTGATGACTGAAAGACATCTTCTGCCTCCATTTATCTGTTTACTTCAGTGTGTTGAATTCATGTTAATGTGTATTTAAATATATATATGGGCTGCTCAGTAGGGCAGTGGGTAGCACTGCTGCCTTGCAGCAAGAAGGTTCTGGGTTTGATTCCCGGCCCGGGGTCTTTCTGCATGTTCTCCCTGAGCATGCGTGGGTTCTCTCCGGGTACTCCGGCTTCCTCCCACAGTCCAAATACATGACTGTTAGGTTAATTGGCTTCTCTAAATTCACCTGTCCATATATATAAAAAGTCTAATCAAACAAAACTATGCAGTACCTCCATGAACCCCCGGTAAAAGACCTCTATCAGGCTAGAAGTGTATTTTATTCCTATCAGATTCAGTGGAAGAAACTTTGTAGATTGATCTCTACTGTACAACCAATGAAAATATAGTTATGTCTTTAAATGTTGGCTGACAATCTCATACTAAACATTGGAGTTGCAGATGCACTAAGAGGGTACAGCGATTAAAAGCTGCTTAATGTGGTCAGTGTCCTCACCATGGGGCTTGTGTGAAGGGCTCGGCCTGTCTTCCACTATGGACTGAACATCAGGGTTGTCTCTGACCACAATGAGCGGAGGCAGCTCTCTCCTGAGTACCTGAGCGCTCTCCTGAGCCATGATGGAGGCTCTAACCGTCTGCTGCTGATCATCCTCACTGTCCGTCTCAGAGGCTTCACCTGGAACCTAACAGGTCCAGAAACGTTTTAGAAAAATACACTCAGAGCTTAACGTTTATTTGTGTTCCCGTTCACCTCACTTCGCTAACCTTTGCTCCTCCTGCGGTAGTTTGGTGAGAAGTCAGAGAAGTGATGTAGACTTCATCATCAGAGTCTGTTTCCGATGCCTCCCCCTGCACCACTATCGGGTATCTGCTGCTGGACATGACTGGAAAACAACAAAATGACTTCGCTATAAAATGTCACTCTGCAGTGGATTAAAGCAAGCGTTTTAATGAATAAAATGTACACAGCAGAAAAAAGAGAAACAGAAAATGTCAAACCTTCTCTGGCAAAAACAAATCACATGAGCGAGGAAGTGGCTTGCTCCCAAAGATCCAATCAGATGGGGCCCTGAAGTCACGAGACCAAAACGTTCTGTAACCTGATTGGTTCTCTGTTGAGTTAAGTAGTTTGTGTATCTACGTCGGCGTACTCCGATCATACGCCTAGCTTTGAAATCTCTGGATATTTGGTATCAGGGAAGCTGTTTATTACGTATTCGTGTGTTGTAAACGCTCGACGTTTACCTTCTCGTTGGCAGCGCAAATTGTCTCACGTTGAATATTCCTAGAGATTAGTTAGAGTACATTTAACGCCGCCTACATTACACTACACTATTTCCCCGGGGTGCGCTGGCGTTAGAAACGAGTGAAACCTTACCAGCAGAAGGAAGCTAGAAGTGTACGGCAGACAGGTATTATTTAGCCGAAATTCTTTTTAGGGAGTTTTTTTATGGTTAATTTCTTTAAGTGCTAGTATTATTGTGTGTTTTTCTTCTACTTTGTCTAATAGCTCAGTGTGTTATGCTAAGAACCATTCAATTACTGGTTTCTCACCTTATCTTGCTAGCTAATGCTAAACAGGAACAGAATTTTTATTATTACAGCTGAGTTTTGTTTGTTTGTTCGTGTGTTTGTGTTTATCCTAATTAAATTTATACGTTCATTTAAATGTTATTTACAGAATGGCAGACGAGTCCTTGTTTGAATTCCTCCATATGGAGATTGTTTCTCACATTTTCAACGAGCAGCAGTCAAGTAAAGGAGAGATGGACAACAAGGTTTGTTTATAATAAGCTTAAATGACTCATTTTACACTTAAAACTGAATTCTATAAATCACATTATGGTTTCTGATTCACATAAAACTCTTTTACATACGGTGGACAACAGTTTATGCAGTGACAAATACCATTTATGATTGTTCATCTACATAACTTAATATTCTATATGATATATGAATGAACTACTTTGTGTTCACAGAGTTTGGAAAGTTTTGGGGTAAATGCTGTGACCTTACAGCTCGCACACTTCTGTTTTTGACAGATCATTTTAAGAACTTTATTTATTCCAGTTGGGCTTTTAATATATTTAGCATTTCCATTTTTTCTAAAGCGTTATCATTGTTACTAAAACTGGCAGAACACCCAATTAGTTCAATGGAAGTCTTAACATTTGTGCAGCAATCTTTGTCGATCACTCCCAACATGCTCACTTATTGCCCCTTTAAAAAAAAAATTATAATAATTAGACGTGCAGTTTAGGGCTGGGCAATTATTTGCATTTGCAATATGATTGCAATTTAAAAAAACACAATTTTCAAATCAATTTTTGTCATTTTAGATTTAAAAAGAGTAAATGGCTAAAGGTATGCTGGCACAATTATATGCTTAAAGTGGGTATGCAGCCACACAGAAAGGAAGAGAGAGTTGCAGCTGGCATGCATAGGCATGCATGCAAGTAGAATTGATCACTTCTTCACAAAAGGTTACAGTAAAGTCCTGCAACAAAGGACCCTGGACAAGCAATCTTTCCAGGTCATGAAAAAACTGAAGCACTGTAGTGAAACATTTACATGATTCTGATTAATGCAAAGGAAAATCAAAATAAAATCACAACTGCAATATTGATTTAAAATAATCATAATTTTTTTTTTTTTTTGCCAAAATCATTCAGCCTAGTGTAGCTTAGCTCCTCTTATTAGGAATCTTCGTAGACCAGTCCTTTTTATTTATATTTATCTGTCAACAATGTTAAGGAAGCTCTGCAGTGTTGACAAAACTGGAGATGGTCCTTAATAGGGATGGAAGATATATTTGTCATACTGTGAAACATTGGTGTCAGTCTGATAAATAAAAGTGGGCTAACAGTGCTTATTTTCAATAAGTTAGTGGATTTATTTCAGGAGGAGGAGGGGTGCAGTTTAGTCATGTGACAGTGATTTAGCGAAAGATTGGGGTAAAGTTGGCAGTCTGAGTTTTTTATAGTGTCAAAAGGGTAGGGATGCATATAGTATACAATATTAGTACATGTCGGGTATAAGTCATAACAGAAATTTTATCAGAAATTTGTATTGGCCCAAATTTTCATATCATTGCATCCCATGTTTAAATGATTCTTGTATTTATGTATTTTTTTGCACCCAAGGACAGAGCAGCGTGTATTTCTCTCTTGGAAGCCATGGGCTTCAGGGTGGGACAAGGCCTCATCGAGAGGTAGGTTATGATTATAATTCAGTATCTTTAATATTGGAAGGATATCCAACTGTTGATCTCACTCCAAATATATTTATTTTGATGTTTGTTTGCAGGCTGACACGGGACACCCCCAGCTTTAAAGATGAGTTGGATATAATGAAGTTTATTTGTAAGGACTTCTGGACTAAGGTGTTCAGGAGACAGGTGGACAACCTACGAACAAACCATCAGGTAACATTTTAGGAACACTTATCAGCATATGGAGGAGTACATTTAATTATATAACCATACCACAAATGTTTCAAAGAGGAAGCCACCAGACTTTCCTGGTATTACTGTTAGAGAATACCTGCGTAGAGTTTTCAGGCCCAGTCTAAAGCTTGGTTTATACTCAGAAACCAGGTCGTCTGCGTGTGTGTCGCAGTGAATGCAAATGTGCCTCCGCCCCCTTCGCAGACATTTTGATGCACCTCTCCAAAATTGTAGGTGACAGCAGACAGGAGGCCTCTGATGGGTCAAATCTACATCCGCTCTACACTATGCATATTTCCTGTTTTGGTACCTTACTGGCTTGTTTTGTTTGTATGACCGCCATTTTGGAAAGTGACTCTTAAAGATGGACCAGTTAGAAGAGAGAATACTAGCAAATGAAGTTCACTTTTATTTACTTGTTGGTACATTCATAATATCTTTTGAACTGGACTGCTGCAGTAGAATACACAATTAAACAACAGACTCACACTTTAAGGCCAAAACACAGTGCTTATGTCTGGCTACAACCTGCAAAAACATTTAGGCTAGAAGTAGTAAACCAGACTCATTAGAAACCGAAAGGTCTGTCTGTCTGTAAGGAACACTTCCTGCAAAGATAAGTGGGATAACATTTTTTTGTACATCTGAAGTCATACGATGGCTAAATACACCATGATATGTTTGCATTTGGACCAATGGTTTCATCCTTTGAGTTTGTATTTTCCCCAAATCAGATGCTTTTTACTTTGCCACTATTTTCAGCTTCCTGACTAAATTGAATTTGTGTGTAGATCTGTTTTACTGTCTTTGGGACAGTAAAGGATCCAGTCATAAAGAATCATTGGTGATCTGCACGGCCGCTTATTAGCTGAATCCTGCAGTCATAATCATATATCACCCTTTTATTTATTTATTTTTTTTCTGTTTGGAAGCCAAATCAGATCTGTTGTAGCTCTGCCTAGTTCTACTGACTGGTATAAAGAAATAAAAAGGGATTGTTAGACAAAGCCAAGAGAAATCCTTTCAGTTTTCTTAACCCCGGTCCTCGGGCGTACTGTCCTTTAAGTTCTAGATGTGTTTTAACCCGGGCACACCTGGTTCAAATGATTGAATTACCATCTCGGCAGCTTCAAAAGCTGCAGTAGCCCTGTTGATCACCCTTTCATTCCAGTCAGGTGTGTGGAGGAAGGCGTAGTGGACACAAGACCAAAATATCACAAACCAGATATCAGTAACACTCTCTGTAAAGGTTGCTACTTTACAGGGGGACAAAACCTCAACAGGAAAAAGGCACCAACTCTAGAAATGTGTATAATCTAAAAATGACACCAGCAAACATTATAGTCTGGAATTAAATGTGGCACAATCTAAACGTATATTTTTCTCCACAGGGGACTTATGTCTTACAGGATAACAAGTTTGCCTTACTGACGCAGTTTTCCAGCGGGAAACAGTATCTGGATCAGGCTCCTAAGGTACAGTATTGTCTCATTTATGCACTGATAATTGTATTAGGTCTGAACTAAGCTGTTGAATAAAATGTTTCTAAATACAGTCAAAGAAATCAAATTTTGTTTTAATAAAGCTGATTTGTCTTTTCTGTCTCAGTATCTTGCTTTTTCCTGTGGTGTGGTGAGAGGAGCTCTGTCCAACCTCGGTCTGGAGAGCGTGGTGACAGCTGAGGTCTCGATCATGCCGTCCTGTAAGTGCAAGGGATTTATTTATTTCCCTATAAGAAGGACTGAGGTGTAAAATATCAACAGGTTACAAAAAAATCCGGGGCCTAACTTTTTGAACAAAGTTTTTGATTTAGTTAGAAATTGATTTAGAAGACACAGTCTGTCCCTGAAGAGAATGCAGATGCTGAGATGCTAGCTAGAATGTATGGTCAGAAGAAAACCTCAAGGTCAGCAGAATCAGATTTAGCTCTGAGATAAATCAGTAGCCGCCTTGAAATATTTTCAAAAAGCCATTAACAGATCATTGCCAAACAAAGCAATCTTAGAGGAGAAAACCTTCAAAACCAGAATACATGTGACCGATTGGGATGAGCCCCTACTGTTTTGTTTCTCACTGGGAAAAATACTTGGTTTATATTGGGTTTGGTAAATGTCATTAAGACCAGAAAGCTGACTATTTTTTGTACTTTACTTTGTATGATTCTCTTTTTCTCCCTTGTTTTTTTCCAGGTAAGTTTCAGGTGGTCATCCAGAAGCTGTGACCCAGTTATATTGATCAGCCTGCCACACATAAACGCTGCCACAGATGGGACTGCATTAAATGTAGTGGAGACATGACAATAAAGCATCACCATCGGATGAACCTGGGTTACTAAGCTTCTGCAAGCATCCTGTATGGATTGAAATGGGCCAGAGATGACGAACTAGGCTTCTTGTTTGTGCAGATTTCTCTTCATTTGTAGTTGTTTAGATTGTGTCGTATTTAAACAGTGTAAGACATAAAGCCCTGCGTAAACTCACTTGTCTTTGTTTTGGAAACATTTATTCAATGTAAGCATCTAAGTAATTTTATCTAAACATATGATCAA